ATGAATATAAAATATTAAAGAAGATCCCCTCTGTGCATTCCAGAGTAAAATTTTTTTATTTTTTTTTTAAACCAGTGTAGTGCTCCATTATAGTATGTCATAACAAGCTACTAAATCTGGGTTTACTGAAATAAGATGTGTGTTGGACCAAAAGATATAGATAACACTAGCCTAGCTGTTAGCTGTAACTTGATGTGTTTTTTAGGACAAAAAGGTGCAGAAAACACTTGCCTAGCTGTTACCAAAAGGTACAGATAACACTAGCCTAGCTGTTACCAAAAGGTACAGATAACACTAGCCTAGCTGTTACCAAAAGGTACAGATAACACTAGCCTAGCTGTTACCAAAAGGTACAGATAACACTAGCCTAGCTGTTACCAAAAGGTACAGATAACACTAGCCTAGCTGTTACCAAAAGGTACAGATAACACTTGCCTAGCTGTTACCAAAAGGTACAGATAACACTAGCCTAGCTGTTACCAAAAGGTGCAGATAACACTAGCCTAGCTGTTAGCTGTAACATGATGTGTGCTGGACCAAAAGGTGCAGATAACACTAGCCTAGCTGTTAGCTGTAACATGATGTGTGCTGGACCAAAAGGTGCAGATAACACTGGCCTAGCTGTTACCAAAAGTAGCAGATAACACTAGCCTAGCTGTTACCAAAAGTAGCAGATAACACTAGCCTAGCTGTTACCAAAAGGTGAGATAACACTGGACTAGCTGTTAGATAACACTATGTGTAGCTGTTACCAAAAGGTGCAGATAACACTAGCCTAGCTGTTACCAAAAGTAGCAGATAACACTAGCCTAGCTGTTACCAAAAATTTCGGATAGCACTAGCCTAGCTGTTAGCTGTAACATGATGTGTGCTGGACCAAAAGGTGCAAGATAACACTAGCCTAGCTGTTACCAAAAAGTGCGGATAGCACTAGCCTAGCTGTTAGCTGTAACTTGATGTGTGTTGGACCAAAAGATGCGGATACACTAGCCTATCTGTTAGCTGTAACATGTTGTGCCAACCACCCTTGTAATGGCATATGTAGAAGAGGAAAAATAAACATTCAAGAAGTGTAGACTATATGCAAAAATATCACACAAAGAGAGGTTAATAGTTGGTGAAGCTGCTAGGTCAGGTGGTTCCTGGTGCAGAACACTTTTTTGGTCACTCCCTATACACACAAACACATTCACATTTTGTCTCTCTGTGTGTGTGATTTGGAAAGTGGGGGAGGGGAGGAGAGGAATCGAATAGACACACTGTATCCTAACAAGCATGTTATGAAAGGAGTGTGTTGGACTAAAGGTGCAGATATCACAGCCTAGCTGTAAACCCCAACCTAACATGCCAAACACCTATTTAAGACCAAACGCAGAAGAAGAAATTGAAATTCATATAAGCTAAAAGTCTGTACATTTCGTTGGCTGTATCAGTATAAATGTGTCTGTGAATTATCAGTAACCCTTATGAATTGTTTTCTCTGCAGATACTGCCCTATCCAAAAACAGTCTGTTGGACTCTACTTGTGAGTTCTTTGCCAGAAGAGGTGACTGTGTGGGCAGTATGAAAGACACGATTGGACAGCTCTGCATCCATTCATGTCGACTGTACCAACTTCAGCTTAATCCTCCGGTGCCAGCAGTCACATCAACACAATCCCCTTCTATTATAACACCTCAGTCCAAGCTGGTGACAGTTCTGTGGAACTCAAATCCATATCTACAGTCTTCAGGCAGAGTGAGTAACTCCAGCCAGCATAACACTGTGTTTAAAAATGTTCGCAGCAGAAGTTCGAGTTCTGAGCTTCCTGTAAATGCTAATACTTCCACCCAGCGACCACAACAGAAAGGGAGAGTCAGCCATCTCCTTCCTGTAAATACACCTTCACCTTGGCCACCACATCAGACGGGGAGAGTCAGCCATCTCCTTCCTGTAAATACACCTTCACCTTGGCCACCACATCAGACGGGGAGAGTCAGCGATCTTCTTTCAGTAAATAAACCTCCCACCCAGCCACCTCATCAGATGGGGAGAGTCGACAATTTTCTTCTTATAAATACACCTTCTCCTTGGCCGCCACATCAGAAAGGAGTTGGCGATCTTCTTCCTGTAAATACACCTTCCCCTTTGCTACCACATCAGAAAGGGAGAGTCAGCGATCTTCCAGTAAATACACCTTACCCATGGCCACTACCACCACACATCAGAAAGGGAGAGTCAGCGATCTTCTTCCTGTAAATACACCCTTCCCTTGGCCACCATACCAGAAAGATAGAGTCAGCGATCTTCTTCCTGTAAATACACCTTCACCTTTGCCAATACATCAGAAGGAGAGAGTCAGCGATCTTCCAATAAATACACCTTCCCCTTGGCCACCAACACATCAGAAAGAGAGAGTCAGCAATCTTCTTTCAGTAAATACACCCTTACCTTGGCCGCCACATCAGAAAGAGGAAGTCAGCAATCTTCTTCCTGTAAATATACCTGTCCCTTGGCTACAACACCAGAAAGAGAGAGTTAACGATCTTCCTCCTGTAAATACATCTTCCCCTTGGTCAACACACCATAAAGAGAGAATACAGTCTACCTTGCAAGTTCAGCAGCACACATCTAGCAATTCTGCCCTACTGGTGACATTTCCAGGAGAAAACCCACAAAAGACAGGCAATGCAGTAACTCAGCAAAATAGCAGCAATCTATTTAGACCTAGAAATATAAGAAGACAACGTTTACAAAGAATAAACAATTCCCGTGATATCTCAACGCCCCAGAGACGCATGATCAAAAATTCTGCACAAACAAGACCTAGAAATCAGAGTGTAACACAATCTGGAAATTTTAAATGGCGACCTGATAATAAAAATGTACAGGCTGTTCTAGCCAGGAGCACCACAAGAACCCCATCTGTACATCTAGAAAATCTGCATCATCAAAACCAGAACAAGGTCTCTCAGAGAATCCTACCATATAGAAAATTCAGTCAGCCAAGGCTGTCAAACAGCCAGCAAGATAACAGAGAAATTCAGCAGTCAGCGTCAAGGCAAAGACAGCCAATCAAAGACCCATATGACATTATCAGTTTCATAGAGTTTGTAATTGCCAGACAAGCATTCATTTTACAGGAGAATGCTGGCACCAGTAACGGAAATCTGGCCACAAATGTGCCACAGAGTGGACGTGTTGATGATTCTCAAGCTAACAACTTTGCTATCAGCTGCAGGTCAAACAGTTGCAGTCTGAACCCACAGGTGAAAACAAATCAGTTTATATCCATAACAAATCTATCAACTGCTAGAGAAGTAGACAAATTAAGTAATACACCTTTAGACCTGACCGACTTGTCAGGGCCAGAATTTGGTCTAATGTTTAACCAGAGACCATCCAGTATTAATGATAACGTTAAGACTGACAGCGTTCTCATCACCGACCAGAGAATTCAGGCATCTGTACCTGCAAACCTGATCAGATCCAACGTTACATCACCAAGTCTGGCGAACAGAGATCATAGTTCTCCATCCAGGTACTCTGTGGAGCAGGACTTAAGTGTCCCATTGGATCTTCCATCATCAGACTTGGCACAAGCATCTCTAGTGCCAACTGCTGGAAGTCAGGAGCCTCGGTATGTGTCACTAGGTGTTGATACCTTTCTTACAAACACCGACTTAGTACCCCAGTCTTGATGAAGTATGGTTCTCATTAGAAGGATAAGATCCCCGTGTGGTTTCTGGGGCCCAGCTGTGGGGGGGAAAAAAGAACAGACCCACTGCCTTCCCTACAAGAATGTCATAGGAGTTAACTAATATTAGGAGGTATCCTTCGAAGTCCGAGTGCATCTGCCTGAGAGGCAGAACAACCAGAACTTTCTGTCGCCGTTTCCACTGGTTAACGCCAAGAAGAAGTGAAGAGTTGAACAATAAGATGTTTTCTTCTTCTTAACATTTATTGGCTGTGGAGTTCTGGTTGTTGATCCACTTTTCTAGACTTCCTCTATAACTTATAGACATCATTTTACAGATCTGGCTTCTTTGTATGCAGACTGTTGGTTCCTCCCCTCTCAGGCAGATGCACCCCGACTTCGAAGGAAAAATCACTAATTAGTCTACTTTCACAACATGATCTATCCCCTTCGCCCCCCCCCCCCTCTCCCAAAAAGGCACCAAAACCCAAATAGGGATGTGAAATGTTGCATGCACAGCCGTAGCCTGATGGAAATACCATATATACCATTCAGTTTAGGTTTAAACCATTCAGTTGTGTACATATTTGTTTACAGAGATGAAGAATACGAGACAAGGAGACAGTCAGCTACAGTAGCTGCATCCATTTGTAATGTCTCTTATGGGTGAATTGAGAGAAGTTCATTACCTTAAATGGCGTCCGTGGCTTAGGTGTTGTGAGTCCAACTCATAATTCCAGCGCACTGTGATCTAAACCCACTGCTGGCTGCATGGATTTTTATCATGGTATGGGGCGTCGCAGGTCGACCCAGCCTAAAATTGGTACCAGGATGGCTGTTCTGGGGAAGTAGAATGACCGGTGTAATGCTGACCACATTACCCACCTAGAGACGATGGTCTGAAAAAATATGGGTGCTCTTCCCATATGCCCAATGCGCCTAAAGGTGCGAAAAGGGATCTTTACCCCCCCCCCCCCCCTTCTTCAAGCAGAGCTTACCAAACTCATGACACTTTAGTCTATCAACTGCAGTATGATTATTTGAGCAGGTGTAAAGCGTTTGATTGTATCTCTTTGACAGAGTTTTAAAACTCTGGTTTGCTTGTAGACTGAATTACACTGCCCTGAAATTATGTTTTCAAAAAGAGTTTCAACATGAAAAGTTTGAAAAGCTGCATGAAAAGATAATTATGCATAGAATCTCCTAAATGTATTGACTCCACAGAATGTCCTTTATGTTCATTATAAATTGTGTAACTGCACCATACAACACACACACTTTCTTTTCTCCTACAATAGTGACAACACACAGACTTTCTTTTCTCCTACAATAGTGACAACACACACACTTTCTTTTCTCCTACAATAGTGACAACACACACACTTTCTTTTCTCCCATGATGGTGGCAACACACTTTCTTTTTTCCTGTGACAACACTTTTTTCTCCCATGATGTTGGCAACGCACTTTCTTTTCTCCTGTGACATTTTTTCTCCCATGATGGTGGCAACACACTTTCTTTTCTCATGTGACCATGTACACTTTCTTTTCTCCTAGGATGGTGACAACAACAAACACTACTCCCACTATGGAGAACAAATAATAATATTTCTGTGCTAGTTTTCTAAATAAAAAGTTTATTTCACCATGAAGTGCAGTTATATTTGAGCGGTTACATTAAAAAAATACAGCAGGCAAGGTTGACATTTCTGCAAATATTTAAACAAAGAGAGCAATAAGGCAATTTAAAATTAAAAGTAGATTCTTTTAAGGTGCAGCCCTATTCAATATCCATAAATGCAGTGAGAAATAAGGATCACAAAACAATTGTCCACAGATGAACTTGGGCCACTTTACAAAACTGGTGACAGCCCTTGTAACAATTTGTAGTTACTATGTTAGCTACACAAAACCAGTGGGAGCATTAAAAGCTGGTGGGGCACCCTGGTGGCCAGGCTTTGGAATTGATGCAAAATGTCAACTTGGTTGTTGTTTACATATTTTCCATTTTAAAACAGAAAAAACAACATTGCATTAAATGCATAAAACAATGACAGTGTGTTACCCTGAAAAGTTTTGTTATTCTTGTAGCATGTAATTTGAGCAGCAACAAATTATTGAATCCCAAAAAAAGGCAAGTACAGATCTCTTGACCAAAACTGATTTACAAAAATAGCATACATATATTTTTGATTCTCAGCCCTCAAAAAATATTCAAGACAGCGTATTTCTTCACAAAAGCCACAATATCTTTGAAAAATAAGAATTGAATATCAAGAGGCAAGCAAAACAAATATGTACAGACAAATACTTTATTTTGTGATGAATGCTTTCAAAGGACTAGGTAAGGGGGTTCAATGCTGTACTGGCAAAAGCTAATAATGTCATGGCAGACAACAAAATACACAAACAAGCGGTGTCAATGTATATAAGCAGCAGTGTAATAAATACACATGTATCGGGTCAGCATGGTCTTGATTTGAAACAACCAGACTGCCGTCTGCTGGCATTATCTGACAGCAAAGACAAGATCAAACTGCTAGTATGGTCTACTTGCTTTAAACACAGGTAAATGTCACCTACTGTAGTGCACTGTGCTCTAAACACAGGTAAATGTCACCTATTGTAGTGCACTGTTCTAAACAAAAATGTCACCTCTTAATTTGTATTGTAGTGCTCTACACACAGGTAAACATCACCTGTTATTGTAGTGCACTATGTTCTAAACACAGATAAATGTCCCCTGCTATTGTAGTGCACTATGCTCTAAACACAGGTAAACATCACCTTATTTTCTGGTGAACTGTGTTTTAAATACAGTTAGACGTCACCTGCTACTGTAGTGCACTGTGCTCCAAAAACAGTTGAACATCCCCTGATATTGTATCACACTGTGGCTACAGAGTGGTCGTGGCTATCAGGAATGTGGGTGATCTATATTCTATTAGCTGAATGGCTCAGGCCAGGTGCAAAACACATTGGCCCTGGAAAGAAAGTCCAAAATATGAAATACTAGTACCATAATGCATCATATCAGGTCTAATAAACCTCTAAATAAATTACAATTGATGTAAGTAGGAATAATTATTCATAATAAATATATGTGTGTGTATATAATACATTTTTAGTATGATGTAAATAAAGATCGTAACAGGCACATTGCAAAATGAACAGTAAAGCAGGGAAAACCCCGGGCTGTGTGATTCACTGAAAAGGCAGTTTGTTCACATGATGGAGTTATTGGTAAGACATTGTTCTGTGGGCCTAGTCGTGATCCTATGTCATCATTATAATTAACTTGACTTACCCCGTCATCCACCAACAAACATTGCCAACAAACCTCAGAAAACCATGCTCTTCATCTTTCCCACATTTCTCCTGCTACAACACTCATGTGTGAAATCCCACACTTGTGAATTTGATGGGACAGGACAGTGGTTTTCAACCTTTTTTTCTGGCCCCTGGGAAATCAATATGGCTACTCCCACCCTGACTGTTACAAATATGATCAAAAAGGAAAACACACAAAATTACAAGCACTAACAAACATCTACATAAATCAAAGTGTCAAATAACGTAATATGCCTAGATTTTTGTTCTATATACTGACTGAACAATATTTTACTGATAATTAAACTAGAATTTAAAAAAAAAAATGTGTACAAGTATAAATGCTTTATATTTATAAATAGCTTGATGCCCCCTTTGAAACTTACCCCCACCCAATAAGACCCCTTCCCCAGGTTGAAAACCACTGGGCTGGGATGACCAGACTGGTGTGGCCATCTTTGAGTTAATGAGATACTTAGAAATCTTACTGCCAACAGCTGCTTGACCAGGGCAATCAATACTGATACATGTGCTAGATAATACACAGCTGCAACAGGCTCGCCACTTCAGCTAGCAAAATGACACTAAAATTAAGTTTGTCTTGTGAAACATGAAAAGGAACAATGCAGCACTGTATTTTTTATGTAACTCATTTGATATAAAAAGCAACATCAACCTTGTAGCATTGACAACAAACAGGGATACAAACAAAATATAGCATCAATGAACAAAAACAACAAATTAGAAAAATGAGAACTGGCCAAATAAGCAGAGCACCAAAAGAACAGATGCTATGAAGCTGCAGACTACAGACACACCCTGACAGTTACGTAGCTTAGACCAGTGTTTTTCAACCTTTGGGCCAAGAAAGAGCAGTCATTGCCAGCAGCTAAAATATTCTGCTAAATGCAGTAACAAGGGTTGGTGGTTGTTCTCTCCCAGTCTGTCAAATTAACATCACCAAGACTTCCTCTTTGTTTGAAAAGACTTCCTTAGGCATGTCAATAATATGCAAATATTAAAAAACCAAGAGAAGTCAAGATGTTACTGTAGTGATTCGTCTATCAGAAACAAAACTCCAGCCCCATTTGATTTTTTAATCATCTAAGCAGCAGATGTCGCAGTTAGCTTAAACATTGTACTTTTATGCGTTGGGTTTAACAAATAAACTGCTGTCACCATTTGGTTTTGTTTCTGTCAGGAGGGCTGAGAAACAGTACACAACTGCCACTGATTTGGTGAGCCGTGGGTATAAAAGACTGAGGAACAGTGGGTATAAAAGACTGAGGAACACTGGCTCATACCACAGACAATTTTGTTCTGAAAATAGGAGCACCAACATAGACAACTTGTGTCTTTCACTTGACAAATACACAGACAATTTTACTGCCCTGGTGTTTTTATGAACTAGCAAAACATTCCATTTCTTCATCAGCATGGACTGCTGGAAACCAGCTGCAGTATTTTCTGACATCCTGTCTGGGAGCTGAAGCTTTATAAAGCCAGAGTATGCCTGTCACACCAAGCAAATGAACATTAATTTAAAAGTCTCAAAACAAGAATACTGTTAGAATGGATTGGTCCATACAGAGCATGCAGCTGCACCCTGCTGTATTAAACAAAATGCATCATACTCTCACACAATAAGTAAAAATTGCATTGACACTTAAATTGAAAAGAAAATACAAACATGTGACTACTACATAATCCACAACTAGTATAAAGGCAGATGTCCTGGATTAAGTTGGGTTGAACTTCAAGTTTTACAACTAGACTAGTGAAGTGCTTCTCCCCAGTATGCTTGCTCTGATTATAAAGTTGTTGCTTGTTAGCTAACTGTTCTCTAAGACAGCAGATAAGGCTTATTCATGGTCACTTAAACACCATATTCTTTACCTAAGTGGATACAACTATTCTTGAACACCCAAATTCCTGATGATTAAAACTAAACTTCCTTAACATTAATACAATAAATGTATGGAGCCAGCAAGATGGTGTGAGTGAGAAACTACAACAAATTCTGTTTTCTTTATTATATAATTTTTTAAACTATCTGTAATCCTCATTATCTAACAGACTGGAACATTCAAAGATTCAGAATTTAAAATAAAATCATAATGTAACCATGCATGTACAAAACCTGTCTTTTGATTTGAATTCTTTACCCTTTACCAAATTTGTCAAAGATGACAAACCATTGGTTAAGTACAAGCATGAAGACAACAAAAGTTGAATTCACAAAGTATATACAATGACTTTACATAAAACTTAACATTGGTCAGTTTCAGCTGCCAACAAACACATTATTAAACAAACAAAACAGAAAGTCAGTTAAAAAGACACCCCCTGTTGAACACTGAATGGTAATATTGCCACACAAATTGCTTCCAAGATCAAACATATACTCATTATCATCAAGTGCTTTGCTGAATAGCACTGGTGGTCCCAGTTCAGCAACATGTATCATTCATGTGATGAGGACACCTTTCGATACCAAAACACTTGTGAAAAATCTTCTTTTGCCTTCCTCTATCTCTCTTTACATACATTTTGCCACAACTTTAAATTTTTTTCCGGGAAAATGTGGCAAAAAAATAATGGCCGCCTTTCTCTGCTGTTTGTGGTAAGTTATCTTCAAGACATAAGACTTTTTTTTTTTCAAAACATGTGAATTATTTTCGGCTGCCTAAGTAAACCAAGCCACACAAAAAAAAAAAAACCTTTTTTTTTTTACAAATATGTTTTTGAAAAATATGCACATATGGTACATTTTGATGATAGCTTTCTTTGGTCTTAATCTTTATGGGTGAAAATGAGCTTGGCAAAGCAGCAGGCAAGATGTAAGTAAAGTGAAGCAAAAGACCTTTTTCCATGTCTTTAGGCATATTGGGCATAAAGGGCTAGACCTATACCTTACAGACCAAACAGCACTTGGTTGGGGATGTTATCAGCATCACGTCTGCTGCCTTTACTTCTCAGGAATGTACCTGTACCCGCTCAAGGCTGGGTCAACCTAGAAGCTAAGGACATTTCTGAAAGAGAAAAAAAAGGCTGGACCCCCAGGTTGAGAACCGCTGGTCTAGCGGCTAGACCACAACGGCTCCCAGCGGGTAAATGTACTGTATAGTAAATAAGACAAGATAAAAAATGTGAGACAAGTTAGCTCACCTAAGAAAACATTTGTTTCCACAATTTTAAAATCACACTGATATTATGAAGGGCTGCTCTTTTCGATAAACAAAAACCGCACATAACAGTGATACCACAACCTGTTAACAGCGTGTGAAATGCACACAGAAAAATGGCAATACTGAATTTGTTGTAACATACAGAAACAAAGGATCTTTCATTTCTAACCATATACATCTTAGAACTAGAATGGTTTCTACTGAGGGATACCAGTTAATACTAGATGCAACACAACCAACCCCCAAGTCTACAGAAGATCATGCTTGACAAAAAAGAGAATTTAAAATTTTAAAAAAAAATACCCCACTAACAGAATTTTTTTTTAACTAAAGCAGCCAATTTTATTTATAAAAGGGGTGGACATATCTCTATTATTCAACCTGCATTGGTAATCTGATGAAACAAACATGGCATAGATGAGATCTGGATCAATTCAGTGTACTCTCTTACTTTCTTCATGCTGCAGCTGCTGAAACCCATATTTATACTGTGCCAATGTCATGCACATTTCTACAATCCCCAGTCTCCCAATGAAGATCTGTTTCACCTTATATTTCTAAACCCAGGTGCTTTAATTATCAAGTTAGCGTCCACCTGTAACAAATGTCTGTCCCTGCATCTGCTGCTTACTAACCAATCACTGACAGCTATTTCTTAAACAACTGTACGACAATTATACTACCCTAAAACAGTTTTCTCTAGGCCCTAATCCCCACTCAAGTAAAACAACCAACAGTAAAAGCTGACTCAAGCAGCAGTGGCGTAAGGACCCAGCCATTTCCATCATACCTTGCATCAAAACTCCCAAAAGCCTCTCAAGCATATCAATTTTGGGAGAATTTGGGTGTCGGCAAGTTAAAACTATTTGCTGGGCCATGGGCAACTGAGGCCTCGAGTTACAAAAGCAGAACAATACATTACACATACACACATATACTGACAAGCTTCATGGAGGTCAAATTATCATTCATAAAAATGTAGGAGTTTTGGTTTTCTTAAAATAAAAAATATTAAAAATAAACAAGTGAATGTACATTGTGACTAATTTTCAGCTTTCACCTCAGGTGCTTCTGCGAGCTCAATGTCTTGTGTTTCCTCTTGTGCTGCAGGCTTACTACCATCTGTTGTTTCCTCAGTCTTAGTGTCCCCTTGGCCCTCTTCAGCTGTGTCTTTCTTATCTGCTCCTTCACTCACATCTCCATTCTCCTTGGGTGACTCCTCTCCTTTCTCCTCTTTATTTTCCCCCTCCTTCTTCTCTCCTTCTGCATCAGTCTTCACTTCTCCATCAGCAGCAGCAGATGCCCCTTGACCTCGGACTCTCTTTGGTTTCTTGACAAGTCCTCTCTCCACAAGAACTTTGGCTTCCTCAACGATTGTCTCCTTGACATCCCGGGGCTCAATGCCGAGAACCTCTTTCATCTGTCAAGGAAGATTACACAAATGACAAGCTATCCAATCATTATCAATCATTGTTACTCTAAAACCCTCAACAAATGATACCATCTGATTTGTAACTGCCACATCAAGAGGTTACTTTGTCTGTAAGGCACTCATGTGTTTCATACCTATTGTCCCCAATACCCATGCCATGTGGTGGTGTTAATTATAGCTGTCCACAACTTTCCATCTAATGTACTGTCAATCCTATTTCTGATTTCTTCTTCATCAACATTCTGAGCCCTTGAGGTTCACTGCTGCAGATATCATCCACCTCCATTTATCTCTCTGGCTGGCCTTCTCTTTCCAGTTGATGACGCCAAGAGTTTGTGGGTATGTCTGGATATGATCTCTCTCATTGTCTTCTTGATCTGCCATGTGGTCTACAACCTTTCAACCCCCTTTTGCAGTTTTCACCTCATTGTCATCTGACATTCAATATGCCCCCGGACATTTACGTCTATTAGCCCTCATGAAGCCAGTGAGAAAACAGGTTATGAACTTTTGTTATGGATTCAAAGATTCATCGTAGGACAGTTTGAAACAACCTGTAATAATATCTCATTTCTTTTGACTGTGCCCTCAGTTTCCGAAGTCATACAAAACTGGTCTTATCTGCATTTTATTTATTTTGTTATCTTAGTGTTATGATACAGAGACTGTTATTTTCACAAAATCAAAATAGAGATGGGGTGTCCTAAAAGAGCTGCTGCCGTAATAAGAGACAAAATTAAACAGGAAGAACTAGATCTGAAACCAACCATACAGTTCTTTAAAAAGCACCAGCTGAAATGGTCTGACAAGTACGCCCTGGAACCAACTGCCACAGGCAGCCATGCTGAAAGAACACAACGACTACAGATCAAGATGTAATGACGGCAGCAAGAATAAGATGAAATCAGCCTACGAAACACAGAAAGAGCACGATGAGGTAACTTGAGGAGAAAAAGCAGAAAAAAAAAACACAGCAAACAGTTGTTACACAGGAACACAATCTCCTTAACCATACAGTAGTGGAGACATAGAAAAGCAGACATAGAAAAGCAGCTGAGCTATATTCCAGAACTATCTGTTCATTCCCTGCCATCCCCACATGTCAAGAAATAGATAACAGAAGAACAAGAGGTAAGTTTACGAGAGAACTATTATCTACACATCCACTGCACATGATCACTTACACGAGTGTTATCAAACTGGCTCTGCTTCCCAACAACTGGAAGGAAGGTCTTGGCATTTTTATTGAACAGGCTGAGGCCCCACAGGCAAACGTTTGGTAGGCTCATCGTATGAATGTTGTAGCCTACAGAAATAAGCACAATGAATGTATACCTTGGCCTTGGGAAACATAAAAGATTAGTTAATTATTATTACATCATGCATAAACATGGTAAGCTCATTATGTAGCCTGTAGAAAGGTATGGTGGATCCAACTTAAACTGGGTACCAGGAAATATTTTGGGAAATAAAGTGGTCATGCGATGCTGACATAAGCCATCTGGTCAACATAAATTTGGATTCAGACCATGGATCACACACATATGGCTGAGGTACAACTGTTGTGAAATGGGTTTTCCCTCCAATGAAGAGTACTGGCTTTGGATAGGAGTCCATCAACAGTAACATCAGGAAAAAAGATACAAGGTATTTAAAGGCCATGTGTGGGTGTTCAAGACAGTGAATTTGAGTCAGGTCAACATTTTTTGGGGAAAAGTTTGTTTTTACACACCTTAGTATGTCTTCTGTCAGAATCAGTATTTGTTTTCGTCCAAAATATGTTATTTTAATGCAAAATTAATATTTTACTGAGCTTTGCTTTATTACTGATTTTTAAAATTTGTTACGAAATTGTGATTTTCGGGAGTGTGGGTGTCTGTGTGTGTGCGTGGGGGTGGGGGGTCTAGAGGGACTGCGTATGAAGAGACTAGGAGTATATAGGATGACGAAGAGAATTAGATTAGCTTGAAGTATAAGATGAACAAGCAAACTAAGAGACGCGACAGTGTACGAGCTGCTAAACTGAAGAGGCAAGATGAACTACATGCCCTAGAGAAAGACCCTACATATGCAACAGGACTGTTCTAATGATCAAATAATAACAAAGTGTTTGTCTGTGTAAAATAACATGCTAAAGCATTAAAATAATTTTGTTAGTATAATAAAACATTTTTTTAATTCCCTTTCCTTCCGTTTTCTCATTTCAGCTTGCGATATAGTTTTCTCAAAAACTGCTTGTCTATAATGAAAACTTTGTCCACGTATATTTAACATTGTATTACTTACACAAATGCACAAGCATTTGTGAAACTAATTTTTAGTTTTTTGTGCTGCAGTTGAAAAGCCACAAATACTGTCTAAAATTATATTCTAAATTATCAAAATAAGGTAGACAAAAAAAATAAGTGATATTACAAAAACATTTTATACTTGTGTAAAGGGGCTATGAGTGTATAAAAAATACAAAAAATTAAGCCTGTATATATACAAATGATGTTTTTAGTAGACATATCTCAAGGAAATCTAACATGGCTGCTGATTTCTTGGTTTCCATAACAACCATTAGGTGCACAGTCAGTCTGACAGTATTTCATGGTCAGGTCTTCAATATAAAACCTTATACCACATAATGTAGAAATTAAACAATTTAGTTTCAAAAGGTTAGCATCTGCTTGTATGTACCACTTATGATTACGCTGTAAGATGGGGTTTTGAGACCAAGGATCTGAAGCCGCATGTCCGGAACAATTGCCACAAACTGTGCAGGATAGGATATTTATTTCTGCCCTCAACAAAAAGAAAAAACTTCCATCATCTTACCAAGGATTCAGACCTGAATATTCTTCATGAGACCCCATTATCAAAGTTATTCTGTCAGCTACTCATCATACCTCATAAGGCTGTCTTAATTATTTACTATGATCCAAACCACAGAAAATGTAAATCTGTATACAGGTACGCTCAAGCAGTTGCTGAATTTTTTGATACAACTATTAAATATATTCTGCAGTAAATAAGCAACACACATACCTTGAGGTTTAAACTCTTTGGCTAAGATCAGGGCAATATCTTTCATCCACAGATTACTGCCATGAATAATGTGGCGATTTCCTGCAACAAGTAAAAACAAAACAATAACAATACAGCGTTAACATTTCTGTAATCTTCCATATGAGCATATGAGATAATAATATACTTAAAACCTGTACACCAAATGGGCATAATTCCAGTCATTAACGTTATGTGACCCCCCTGTGTGTCGACTTGTAGCCAGGACTTGTGGTTTGTGTCGAGAAAGACTCCAGCCAAAAGCCTGCTTTGCCTTGTGTGTGTGGTGTTCCCCCAATATATGCAGTCTTGTCATCGATGCTAAGACATCATTAAGCTTATGCATGGGACCTGAAGACGTAAAACTAATTTCCACAAGGCTAACTCAGATGACATGTCAGCTTTCCTTACCGGTTCTGACTGAATCACAACACACGTGGTTCTTCAACCATGGTTGATACATTTATGCCGCGATATTCATTCATAAAAATACACCACCATATGCAGTACCTGTGATCACACAACACCACATACAAGATATGCGATCACACCAAAGACATGGTTCAACTATTTTACAAATAGGATTATACTACAACTATACCACATAAAAGATATGTGATCACACCAAACACATGGATCAATCTATATATATAAAAATCAATGTTTGTGTGTTTGTTTGCCCCCTATAGACTCGGAAACCACTGAACCGATTTAGCTGAAATTTTCAGGATATGTTTGTTTTGAGACCGGATGTTGAACCATCATGGTTTGAAATTCAACCTGTCACTGTTAGAGATAGGTGACCACAATTTAAGCCATAATATTCGAAACTAATATTTATTTTAGTGATTTCTAATTATAGTTTACTTTTCGTCCTTCTTAGGACGTTCATTTTTGTTATTTGAAGCCCCACTCTGGCTTTTGCCAGGGGCCGCAATATAGGCAGGTCATCATTATGGCCAAATGTCTGAACGCGGTTTCTGGGACCTCTCCACGGTGATCCTCATCCGCATGGTGGCACTTTGTGTCATCGGGTGTTTGTCGCTTGTGTGATGTCCTGGTGGGGTAAAAAATCCAATCCAATCCAATTATAGCCACGTTAGTAATTGCGCATGCGCCGTGCAGCCAACACCTCCTCTAATACATAGAGTAGGTCGTGGTACAGCAAACAAGACTATATCTATATCTGTGCAGGCAATGATTGCCACAATAACTATATTAGACACGATTTCTATTTTTTTTTTCAAACATCCTTCGGTGAGTTGAAAAGTAGCCGATGGATTGGTAGGAAAAAGAGGGAGGGGGCATCAGGGACTATCTCGACGTCTGCGCAGACATTGACTGCGACATTAACCGTGTTAGACACGTGCGATTTCTTTTGTTGTGCCATTTCAGTAATATATTTGGAATATCTGTCTATGAGAAAACATTTGCCTGCTGTTTTGAGTTGTTATAATCGGGACACTGCAGTAGGGACACACATCTAAAATAGTTATGTTCTCTTTTCGTTATTCTGATCGAGTGGTTAGAACACTCGGCTCTTGAGAGGGAGACCAGGGTTCGATTTTTTTTTTACTTAGGGCTAAAATAAAATCCTCACCTGCACTGTCGTGGCGACAGCACTAGCCATATGGCCCTTAATGATATATATTTAATTTAAAAAAAAAAAAAAAAAACAAGGACAGGTTTGAGGGTAAACCAGTTGATAATTAAATTTGACCATTTCACATACTTATGATTTCATTTTAAACTTTTCGATTGCATGGTTATGCTGAAATTTAATAGCTTTCTATTTATTTTCATTTAGATTTAATTATTTCATCTGCGTTGGAATTTTAAGCTGTGTTGTTTACCATAGCGTTCATTTCCTAATTCTGGTGTATTTTTCCTGTTTTAATTGCTTTTCAATTGGTTTTTTCCCCTCTCAACTACTTTGATGAGGGAAAGAGTAGTCGGTGAATTGGGGGGAAATGATTACTGAGAGAGCTTTAAGTCACAGTAACTGCTTTACCCACTCAAAGTAGCAGCAGCAGTAGTAGTTGTGGTTGGGCGGTTACACCGTAGTGCTCTCATGTGAAGACCGCCGGTAAGGTTATGGCATTCTTCTGTCGGGGAGCGAAATCCTACATCCTTACCTGACCAGTCCGTGGCGACAGCACTAGCCATGCGGCGCCAAATCTTCTGGCTCACGACTCCCTGTCTACTCCGATGGTAAAACAGATAGCAGTGACATTATTTTAGCTACTGTGGTCGTGATAGTAGTTGTACTGGTACTTGAAGAATAATGCGGTAAATATTACATTAGCCCCATTCACTACCTTATAGGTAGCTGCTCCCAATTTAGTCCGGATGGACAGGGATGTCAATGTCAGTTACAACAAAAAGAATATCGCCAGGTGATGATTTTTCAATCCTTCGAAGAGGGAGAGAGCAGTAGTCGGTGGAAGAGGGGAGGGTAATGACTGAAATTTAAAAGAACTTGAAGAGCTTTACACATGATTTTTAAGTTCTCATTACTTACTTAAATTGTTTATATTTTACTAACGCTACCTTCACTATTCTAATTTTTGTATGACTTACTTTGTTATTTACAAGTACAGTAGTAGCTTTACTTACGTCTCCTATAAAAATACAAACAGCTTTAGCATGTGATAACCAAATAACCACTTTTGTTACTGTGCTAATAGCACCATTTAAACGACCACTAATATAAAGACACAATTATATGGTGCGTGTTCTAAAGTTGGAAAACCAGACTGTCTCTATATAAATGTGCAGAGAATGATTGCGACATTAACTATATTAGACAGGTGCGATTTCCATTGTCTTTATTTTCCAAAAACCTTTGATGAGGAAGAGGGTAGTAGGTGGATTTAGTTATATGCCTAAAGGTGTGGAAAATAGATCCTGTTACTATAACACACACCTTTTAGGTCTACATCACACAAAAAGCATGCTCATAAAAACAGTTGCTCCTACCAGCAGCACTTTCCAACTCCAGGGCTTTCAGGTGAGCAGCTGCCACATCCCTCACGTCAACCAGCGAGTAGCAAACTCTGGGACATCCTGTGATGCCTCGGTCCAGCAACATTTTCACAACCTAGGCAATATTGAGATTTGTTCATAAAATCAAGCATTGAAAGCAGCAGTCCATGAAAGGAACCCATAACATGCAATGCTCTTCATGAGAGGAGCTAACAGATGCATCGGAACAGGAATATCTTCTTCTTTACCTCCAGCAGAAAGTTCTTGATATTCATCCACTTCTTCCAGAACCACAGTTTTGCATGCAGTCATTTTAAAGACTCATCTCTCAGGCAAAAGCACTCAGACTTCGAAAGAAACACCCCAAATAGTTGATTTTAATAACATACTTGTTGGGGGTAGTGGGGCTATTCACACCATCCTCCCCATGGGCCCCCAAAATCCACACTGGAAGAACAGGAATATAAGAGGGATGCTAACTAGCACTTTGAGTTTTAAACAAAGAAGACACAAATGACAGACTGCACATCGTTTGTACTGACATATTTTGCTGCACCCTATCAGGTGAATACTGCAGTAACACCTGAATACAGAAGTAAACAAATGAATTTTTAACTGAAATATAAAATAACTGCTTTTTACCAGAGCAAAGGGGTGTTTTTTCATCCGCACAAGACTGGGCAAATTTAGCGAAAAGAAATATAGCAGACATTAAATTGTGCAGTTTATTGTTTCTATGTTCTTTGTTCAAGTTTACAAGCAGGAAACATGTCTTTAACCTTTAGTTTTCTTAATGACTATAGTACATACTGGATTATGAATACAACAGCTGCCAAAATAAATGGGTCAAATGAACAATGACATGGGAGCTTGAAGACCTATTTGGAACTGTCTGTGGACACAGTCCTACAATTCCACTCATAAAACCAGAAACAAGAGAAACTGATCAGAGATTATAAAATCAGGCCTACTAAGACTGCATAATAAAGTCAAATATAATGGGAAGGGGGATGGGGGGGCGCGGCCAAATGATAACCTAGTCTAATTTTTCAAACAAAATGCAAAGTTAGAGAAACAGAAAAGAGATATAATAATAATACAAAAAGCAAGTAGTTTTCACAGCATCAAGAAACTTTAAATATAGTTCCAAACTTAGAAAACCTGTCAAATATGCATGGATTAGAAAGTTACTTTTCCTAAACCAACAGGCAAAAGTAACAGGTACAAAACAAAACAGGAAAAGAGACCAGGAGTCAAGAGATTTATAATAATGGAACGGCACAGAGACAGCTGAAGGAATATCAAATGATAGAAAGGCTTGGCATGTGTTGGGAAAGAGCTTATAGTCACCTGGGTTGGTAGAAGACATTTCTGACTGATAAAGACGACAAGAGTTTAAAATAAATGTGTCAAGGTAAGTATCAATCATTTCAACACTTACATCAGACTGAGCATCCAACAGAGGTGGTCCCAGGGGTAAAGTTGGATTCAACACGCACAGTTCAATCTTATCAGCATCTGTGAATACATAAATACTCAATGAAGATAAACAAACAATAGACTGTCAGATGCTATGAAGATGTGCTAATGACTGTACTGAGTTTCCTATTATTCATGAACTCATTTAGAATCATCATCATCAACTGCCTTGCCATCTGGCGTAGGCATTCATGCATCTCCACCAATCTCGGCGGTTGGTGTTCCGGATTAATTGCACTGATATTACTCCATGTCACTGTCTTTAAACCATCCAACATGATTTATTCAGTGATCTTTTCAGTCATATTTTCCAGTGCTCGTTTTCCATCGCATGACCAAAGAACTTTGTCTCCTTCTCAGTGTTCTATATATTGTCCTACTTTCATTAGCCATTTTCAGACAACCATTGTTAGTTATTCTGACAGACTAAGGTATTTGCAGCATTCATCTCAAGAACCATACCTCGCTGCCTCAACTTCTCTAATTTGTTTGCTAACATTCCAAGATTCACTGCCCTACAAAAGATCAGGCTCGATACTCGTTTTCTGATGTTCAATGTTTGGAATGGCAATCACAATTCGGTGTCCATATCTTCTTCTTCTGCGTTCATTCTGAAGATGTAACTGCAATGTGCCTGTTTACAGCATGGTTGCGATATTAGTAACTTTCGGCTGATACATCCGACTTCTGTGCAGACATTTGGTTACTGGGTTAGCTTATCTGGTTAGTTTCAGAGATCACGCTCCACATCAAAATGGCAGCACTGTTTTGTTTTCATGACTGTTAAAGCTGAACATTCTGATTATTACAAATGCACCCAATTTCAAAATTACTCAACGCCCCTCTTTTTAAACTTCCTCATGCCCCCAAACTGGAGACCACTGATCATTCACGTTTTCTTTGGTACAACCTCTCATAACAAAACAAACAAATATTCTGTCAAGAAATTACAAACAACCAGGTCTTTCAGGCCGGTAAACATAAACAAACAAACAGGCAGAGAGAGGCAGAAAAGCACACATAGACAGGCAAATAGAGACAGAAATCAAACTTCCAACACACCTGGAAGTTCCTTCACAAAGTCCCATGCGGCTTTCTCAGCCAAAATCAATGACTTGACAAGAGGGTCAGCAGATTCTGAATCGGCCCAGTCAGCTTCTGTAAAAACTTTATCAGTGGCTGCAGTTGGGACAGCTGTGAAATTAGAATGAATAAAGTCCATCATGGTTGTATAAAACAGAAAACTTAACTAGATTTTGTAAAACTGTGTAAATAATTAAAACGTTGTAAAACAAAAAAATAATACATTCCTGTGGCTTTTAGTGAGGATCATCACCAACCATAAGTCAACGTAACCGAGCAATGTTTCTGAACAGCTACTGACCTACAAGAATTGATTTTTAACACAAAATAAACTAAGAATTTACTTCTGTCTTCTCATCTTACATCAGCTTAGTATTTAGGGTATAGATTTTTTGGGGGGAAAACAGAACTTGTAAAACAGCATTTAAAAAAAAGTAAAGGACCCTTTTCCACGCCTTTAGGCGTATAGGGCTAGACCTATATTTTTATAGACCAATCGACACAAGATGGGTGATGTGGTCAGCATCACACCGGTCGCCTTCACTCAAGGCTGGGTCCACCTGGGAACTAAGGTCATCATCCACTTCTTTATTTTGGTCTTGTTCCAGAACTTGAGTTCTGCATGCAGATCTGGCTGATTTGTATGCAGACTACTGGTTCCTCACCTCTCAAATAAATGCACTCCTAACTTTAAAGGAAACATAACAAATTAGTCGCCTTCTATGACATGATTGGGGAGGGGGGGGGGGGGGCAAGAAATCATGATAACTGTGACTTTAAGGCAAGGATCAATACAGGATCAGGTTTAAACCAAGAAAGATTTCTGTGGACTTAGTTGATGAGGTAGAATAGCTCAAGAACCACATGAACATCTCAATCTCAATTCAGTAACCAAGATAGGTCAACACAGATGACACCAGATCAATTTTGAGGACCAGCAGTAAAGAAATCAACTTAGCATTGCCGAGTAACAACCTAAGTATGGAGGCTAGCTTTCGATATAATTCTAAAATTGCATAAATCAAACTGCATTTTAGTAGTCTGTACTGTAGGTGATAGTGAAAAAATGACAAGCATACAAGAGAATGTAAAACTATAGTCCTTGTGTGGGCGGCATAACCCCAATGGAGGAGAATGGTGTGTAAAAACAGATCTACTGTCCCCAAGTGCAAGCATGCCATAAAAGGAGGCTAACTGTTAGGCTGAAAAGCACAGATTTCGCAGCCTGGCTGTAAATCACAACACAATGTACCAACAAGTCTTTAAATTAAAGGGTAAGCGCAGAAAAACAAAAATAGGAAGGTGTGCAGTTTTGATAAAATGCCTCATAGGAAGGAATGAACAACAGCTTTATGTGATAGTGATATATACGCAACATACCTGAAATGGTTTGGTAGGAGCTGCTGAGAATGACACGCTTGACCGTCTTAGACTCAACACTGGCTTTGAAAACATTCTGGACAGCATCAACAGCTGGCTGTACTGGAGCCTCTCCTTCCTGTGTGGCTGCTTGAGCCGCTACAGGTTTTATCACATGGATGACATACTGCACCTCCTTGATTGCGCTAAAAACATAGTATATATTGAATTTTTTTAACAAGATTGTATTTATTTTTTTAATCTGCTGCCTCCACAATGGAGGTTGGCTGCTACTTACCTCTGTGACAGTCCTGAGAAATGAGAAAGATGGCCCAAGTGACAATGTTCGCAATCAGACAATGCATCATGACCTTAAATTAAAACCCAGGCCTTACAAATTCTAGTGGATCAGTCACTTACAAAGGTTTTGACCCATACACAGAATGGGATCAAATCAGCCACCATGGCAGGCTAAGAACCAGAGAACCAGACCTCCAGTGCGACCCAGGGTTCGCCAAAAAACAACACCCAAGAGTCCCTGACAGACAGAAGACTGGAATGGAACAAAGCCAGAAAGAAAACTGCTGATAGAAAAGTCTGGTGATCTTGGCAAATTTCTACACCCCAAGGTAGAAGAGGAGCGACTAAGTAAATAAAGCAAGTATCTGCTATTATGGGAATATGCAGTGAGACCCTAATCACTTTCATGGTGCAATTCTTGTATCACAAGAAAGCAAAGGTTTTTTTTAACTTCTCAGCACATGAATCGAACTCGACAAGTGTTGAGGACTGTATTGTGAACCAATTTCACTAACATTTAAGCCCCAAAGCTTCACTGCATTTGATCATTTCAGCACAATGAATACTATCTGCCAGATTAAGATCAGTAAGGCTTCTATATCAGTAGGTTACCATTCCAACACATAGTTGAGAACTGACATCACAGAACTCGAGACATTCCCGTATCCAACTAGTGCTCCCTCTTTCTCTTGCTCAGCAGCAATGGCAGAGTTCAAATTCTGGTGGTACCAGCAGCAGTCTGTGATTCCATCTCAGCTTTTCCCTGACTGATCAGTTGTCAATCAGATTCACCTGGTCAGTCCCTGCTGCACCACTCTCTTCAAACCGTGACGATTTATTTGTGAATTCATACTTTTCTGCTAATTCCTGCTTTTATTATACCACTTTTGCAGCGTAGGCGGGGTCTTTGAGCCTGAAGATTTACGGCTGCAAGGCTAGTGCTGTCACCACGACAGTGCTGGTGATTGTTTTTTGGTTGCCCAACAGAAAAAATCCCCAGCCTTACAGGGGATTTAAACCCAGGTCTCCCGCTTGACAGCCCAGCATTCTAACCATTCGGCCAGCCGCTCCTTGAAAACATCTAGCTTGTCATGCAACAATTTACCACCAAGTGGTGCAGAACTGGCCAGTCTGCCAGTTTCCACTTGCACAACCAAGAAAAGAATGTCTAAAGGACTCTGACAAATATGACCATAAACAACTGTAACCAATAAGAGCAAAGAGGTGTTATGTTTCCCGCTCTTTCAGCTAACAATAGGAGCAAAGAGTGTCATGATTCCGGCTCTTTCAGCTAACAGACAGCCTACTATTACATGTAACATCAGAGTGGAAAAAATTGCATGTGTTTACATTAATGATTTTTTCACTCTGTGGCTGGTTGATGTGGTGACTCCAAACCCCATAAACGGTGGTCAAGACAAGCTGCTGTGATAAACATAAGTAGATTTGGTATCCTATTCGACGTCTGTTGATTAACTGGTTATTTTTAGTGGCAATGTTTAAAAGCTGGCGATTTTAACTGTTGAAACCATTTAATTCTTTTCTGTGTTCATCATTATTATCTATGTTTTTTTGGATAAGTTAGAAGTAGCCACCTCAAAATCTTGGTACCAAGGGCAGGACAAAGAGCAATTATTACCTGGATGTCTTGGCCATATGGACAGGGCGAGACAAGAACACCGACCTAAACAATGTTTCTGGTGATCATGTTGGATGGCCAAACAGGACGACCCACACTTATCACTATGGCACACAGCGTACTTGTTATGGAGTAGGAGTCTATACTTTTTCCTTCTCACAGCAAGGCCCCAGAACCTACATAGGGAATATCTTATCTGCCAGCAATAGTGAATATCAGAAAACAGAAAAGCTATGACAGACAACTGCAGTGTCTCTAACATGATGAACTCTTACCTCTCCAAAGAGCCTGTCTTGCTGGGATCTGCCTCAATGACTTCAACTTTATATTTGGCATCAGGACAGAGTTCCTGAAGCTGTTTAATTCTGGCATCTTCATCCTGAAGGGAAGAAACTAGGCCCCGGACCTGGTAGCCTTCCTCCTGCAGCTGCTTGATAACGTGAGTGGAGGTGAAACTGGTCACATCGGTAATGAGAACAACTGAAAACATACACAAAACATTAATAATGATGGTTTTTGAGCAATCTGTCTTAAAAGTCTCAAGATGCAAGAAGCATCAGAATGTAAACACAAAATTTGCCAATACTTCTGTATTCTTTGTCCTACACAACAAAGTTTATCTACAAACTCTACTTTGGTCAAAATATAGCAACCCATTCTTTGAAACAAACAAAACAAAAAAAGAAAATGGATCTTAACACTGTCACAGCACTTATCACTACTGTATGACAACGAACGAACGAACTTTATTTTCAAAGGGTCACAAGGAAAGGTTAGCTGCATATCCTTTGCAGGACACCCCCATCCAACTCCAGCATACAAAGTTTCTCTACAAACTCTCCACATTGATCTAATTATACCACCCCATGTTTTATTTTTAAATTTAAAAAAAAAAAAAGGGGGGGGGGGGGGGGGGGGGGGTTCAAAACTGTCCAGAACACCTCACACATTCACTACTATTGTAATACTAGGGTGCAGACATTAATACTTCATATTTAACCACTGACAAACATAATACTTCACAGCACATAAATAATCAGGTATAGACTCAGTCAGTTAATTCTTTCTGTTATATTAATAAGTACACATCCCCACGTGGGTTCTGGGGCCCACTCAGGAAAATAAGAATATACCCACTGCCTCCCCAACATGCGTAAGAGTCGACTAATTGGATGCTTCTGCCAGACCCACAAGGAACCAACAATCTGTACACAATCACGTCAAATCTGTCAAACAGATATGCAACACTCAGGTTTCGGAACAAGGCTCAAGTCCAGAGATGGGCGAACAACCAGTGAGACATCTGCTTCAATTCCATCTGCAGACAACAGAGCAGCAGATCTGCTTTGTGTTCACTTTAACTATAAGACTGAGCGCTGACCACTAATAAAAGTATTTGTGTTATATTAAATAACTCTTTCTATCCCTTGATTTATCTCCATAACATTATATGCTCTCGTATTTAAATTTTTTTTTATTTTTGGCCAGAACACACTACAGAAATCTGGCTTGGCTTTCCCAATTGGTAACCACAACTGTGTATATACTGCCACTTTGAAAGTAATAGATTCATAATTTGAAAGAAAAAAAAATGTGTAATACTTGTTCTGGATAAATCTTGTGAAAAATTCACCAGTTTCTGATTTTTACCTAAGCTAACAGGTTCAGTATTCATCCTCTGGACAAAGGATTCAGGAAGGTTAAAAATATCAGAAATGAACAATGTTTGGTAAGAGAATACACAAACAAAACTTTAGATTATCAGTTGGTAAAACCCAACACCGTCACTTAACCGTGGCTGGCTAATGTGTCTTCAGGTTATCAAGTAATCAGGGGATTAGCTTAAATTAATCTTGCAACTTTGGACAGGCAGACATCCATGGTGTCCAGCAGGACAGAATCACAAGTGTGGGAGTGATTAGAATGGTAAAGAGATTAATCAAATCACAAGACCTATACAGGTAATGCAATATTTGATGGGGACAGATCAGCAAACAAAACACTGAAATATAGCAGGCGGAATGACAAAAAAGGGAGAGACTGGGACAGGTAACAAAAGGTGCAGGCTACATGATGGTACAGTGTTAAGACGGTCACATTCCAAGCTCATGGTACTCGACTGATGATTTCAGAATCTTCTTCTATGTGTTGAGCGGATGTAAACTCCAGCAGTTTTGGTTGTCTGTCCACTTCTGGGCTTAAGTCTTGTTCCAGAACTTGAGTGTTGCCTGCACACCCATTTTACAGATCTGTCTTTTATGTATGCAGATGGCTGGAGTCGCACTTCTCATGCAGATGCACTTCAAACGAAGCACCCCTAATTAATATTCTTAACAATTTTCCTTTTCCAGGATTTAACTCTGCAGGATCAACACCTCAAGGATGAGAATCCAACCCTGCAGCACCAGATATAAACTGAAATTTTTGCTATTTACATTTGTTTCTCTGTGGTAGGTTAGCTGTCAGGCCACCCGCGAAACAATTTCCTGTTTTAGTGGGCCGTGGGTGTAAAAGGTTTGAGGAACTCTGCTGCAAAGAACAACAACTTACAAATATTACTACCAGGCATATATTGTGAACTTGTTACACCTGGCAAGAAGGATGGAATAAGAGCAGCGGGAAGGCAAACAGATCTGTGTTGCAATCACACAATAGTTAACTGTCATGCCGTCTCAAGCTGGACCATGATGTATTGATTATTTTTTTTTAATGGCCAGTGTCTTGAGAGACCGCAGCTAATTTACTTCCCATTTTCCTCCGACCCAGTTTCATTATGAAAGTGTACACAAAAATGAACTCAGCTGGACAAGTATAGATCAAACAGCAATTTAAACATTTGCATCAGCACTGTGAAAGAAGGTGATTTTATATACATTGAAACTGTGAATTCTCTTTAATTCAGACTTGCACAATTCTGTGTGCAATACCAGTGAGTGATAATTTGGAGAAAAAATGTATAAAGAAAACTGAGCATCAAACACCCAAATACAATATATATCCCAACTCTAACAAAGACAGTCTGAATTCTTCATTCGCTAAAAACCATGTTAGATGTCATACTTAACAACATGAAAGATAATACATGAAATAGAACTACGGATCCACAAAAGGATTTAAAATGAACAGCAGCAAGCTTACTGCTACTTACACCCTGTGAAGGAGAAGATCTAATTACACAACCAGGACAAATGCTACCATAGGAACCTATGAAACACCAGCTGAATACAGCCAAGGCGACAGTTAGGCTGAAAATGTGAAATTTCATCCCCACAAGTTAAAAAAATTTTACACATGCTATTTAAAGCTTACTGGAGACAACTTTTATATTTTCGTGACTGAGAAGGTAGTAAAAGAATGGAAGTACCTCAAAACAAGCATCCTTAATGTAAAAAAAAATAAACAGCAAAACTAGGATTCAGAAGTGAAAAGGGGGGGGGGGGGGGGGACAATGAATAAACAAGTGAAAGAAAATAACTGAATTTAATCTTAAAACTATTCTCTGTCGATTATAAAATGGCATTTGACAAAGCAGGCAGAAAAATACTAGGAAATATCTAAAAGTAACAGGTCAAATACACAATAAATATACTCAACAAATTAAACAGAAACACAGAATGTGTTGTAAGAACAGATGACACAAAGAATCCTTCAAAATAAAATCTGGAGAATAATAGAGATTTGTCCTGTCTCCCCTACTAACCATAACCTAATTTTTGATATTTGTTCCTCTTCTTTGTTCATCGGCTGTAAGCTTCAGCAGAAAATCATGGTTGTTAGACACTCTGCCAGAAGTGGATCATGATAACCATATACACACTTGATTGTTTTTTTTTTTTTGGTGAACCACATGGTGTACTACAGAAGAACCTCAACATAAACTCTTTTAAGAATACTCAACACGAACAAGATTCTGGTCCTAGCAGGTATGTATTGTTGTTATTAGTCCCTGGTCAGCAGCAATTTTGTTTGTGGTCTAAGACTGGACCACACTTATTAGAGCTAATTAAACTGTGGCATGTTCATAATGAAGGCTGGCTGCAGTGCATCTGCTGGTGTCTTTGGAAATATCACACAGTGAGACCACAATCTCTTCCAAGGTGCAACTCTCATACCACTGGCAAAAGACATAGGAACAGTCCATTGCTGTAGTAAACTGTACCCTACTATTAACCTTCAATAATATGACTAGAAATGTGTTTTTTTTTTTTTCAGCTACTCATCTGTGCTCTAGTCCTCAAGTAAGGCAGGTATAACTTCCAGAAAGATCATGACCCCACACGTACACAAAGACAATACCTACAGGAATACAGCATGAAAAGAATATACCAGTCAAGCAACAATGAGCTGTGTGATAAAACAGAAGGAAATTGAATATATTTTGCTAAAACACAGAAGGTAATGTGGTTGTCAGAGGAAAGCCACTGCCATGGATGACAGAAAGCTGTGAAAGAGCCCTGAATGATGAGTGACACATTTAATGACACAGAGGAGAAATAAACAGAAGTCTGTACAGCTCTCAGGTGAGCATTTTCATTTTAGTCTGCACTTTTCGCAACTGGTACAACACTTAACAGTCTGATACAAACATAAGCTATAATGAAGTCAAGCATAAAGTACAGAAACAAGAGTATCAAGGCTTTAGATAAATTTTGCATATTTATTACCATCTCCACAAAAGTGAATAAATAGCTATTATGAGACTGCACCAAATACAAGTGATATCTGAGGTACCACTTGTTTAAAAAAAAAAAAGCTAAAGACGGGGGGGTGCTGATAAATGTAACTGTTGAACTGGTTTCAGTTTAATTACATTCAAACATTTGCTAGTTTGCTGCACAGGTGGCAAACGTATATAGAACAATATATTGGCATGCACAGACAGTCTAAATCATATAACACTGTTATAGTAATGCTGAAGGTGTCCTGAAGGAACCTAACTACAGCAGAAAAATGATAACCTGCATCAGAAGATTATTACATTCAGTCATGTTATGAGAAAAGTGGGAAATGAGTAAACTAATGAAATTTGGAGAGGAAAAAAGGCATAGTGAGACCAATAGAATGGTATGGAATAAAGAAACGTGTCACAAATGAAAGTACACAAGACAGAAGGCTGTGGACAACATATGTGACTGCCAATGACACATAATGTGTCACTGGCAGTCATCAGTCACTTACCATAAACTAATAAAGAGGGCAGTTTTATCTAAGAATAAAGACTGCACATTCATCATTCACATGGGAATGTCCAATTTGGGGTGACATCGATTGTGATAGCATAACATTACTAACACAAAAAGAGTATTAAAGTCTAGAGGTTACAAGTAAAGGAAATGCAGCCAGCTTAATAATGACCCCACCATACTGACCACTTAAGTTACTCAGGCCTATATTTGAGGCTAATAGTAGCACAATATGTTAAATGAAATTGTGGCAATCTTCCGAATAACAGTCCCAAATTACAAAACTGAAAATATACC